CTTTTTTTTTTTTTTTTTTCCCCTTTCTTGTGTGATTGGTTTGTTGCTGTCAGGTATTGGACTGTTTCTCAGTCGTTTTTACTCCAGTGTTGTGGAGGAGGGAGAAGTGTGATGTTTGTGTTTCATGATCCCTTTCTTGTTTCTTTCCTTGCAGTGGACTGTTGGAGGTTCTAAAAACAAAAAAAAGGGAAAAGCGGGTAAGGCAGAGAAGAAAGGAGCCATGAAGAAACAGATGAACAAAGCTGCCTCTTCAGGCAGCTCGGATAAAGACAGCTCGGCTGAGAGCTCAGCACCTGAAGAGGGTAAGATAACACATGTGCATCTACTTACAGTGTAATTCCAAGTGAAGTTACCCCTTTGTGTACACTGAAGATTAATGTTAAGTGGTGATGTTAAATACTACCTTCAAAGAGTTTTCTTTGTGTTACTGCTAGTCTGGATGACTCTTAAACTTGCCATAGCTTGAAGTGCATGTAATTCAGTATAGCATTGCTGCAAGCACTCCGTTACAACCACGACACTAAATACTGTTTCAAGTGAAGAAAATATGATGTATTTCATTACTTGACTTTCTCCTGGAAAATTCTTTTTTTCCTTCTAGCATGTTCCATCTGTAGTGCAGGTAGAATTTTCTTTTATTCACATTGATATATTTTCCCTTCTCAAACTTCTTGTGATCATAGAAGCATAGAATGGTTTGGGTTGGAAGGGACTTTCTAGATCATCTAGTCCCAGTCTCCCTGCCATGGGCAGGGACACCTGCCACTAGACCAGGTTGCTCAAAGCCCCATCCAACCTGGCCTTAAATGCTTCCAGGGATGGGGCCTCCACTGCCTCTCTGGGCAACCCGTTCCTTAACACAACCCCTCTCTGTAGAAGGACCAGAGTCAGGATTTCGGTCATCTGTCTTCCTTTGTTGATTTCTTCTGAAAGAAACACAAGTACAGGCTGGACGGAGAGTGGCTTGAGAGCAGCACTGAGGAGAAGGACTTGGGGGTACTGGTGGATGAGAAGCTCAACGTGAGCCGGCAATGTGCGCTAGCAGCCCAGAAAGCAAACCATATCCTGGCCTGCATCAGGAGAAGTATGGCCAGCAGGTCAAGGGAGGGGATTCTGCTGGCCCTCCTCTGGACCAGCTTCAACAGGTCCATGTCTTTCCTGTGCTGCGGGCTTCAGGGCTGGATGCAGCACTCCAGGTGGGGTCTCACCAGAGCAGAGTAGAGGGCAAGAATCCCCTCCCTCAACCTGCTGGCCACACTGCTTTGGATGCAACCCAGGATACGGTTGGCCTTCTGGGGTGCAAGGGCACGCTGCCAGGTCATGTTGAATTTCTTATCAGCCAGCACCCCCAAATTGTTCTCCTCAGGGCTGCTTTCAATCCTTTGTCCACCCAGCCTGTGTTTGTGCTTGGGATTGCTCTGACCCATGTGCAGGACCTTGCACTTGGCCTTGTTGAAGTTCGTGAGGTTCGCACAGGCCCACCTGTGAAGCCTGTCAAGGTCCCTCTGAATGCCATCCCTTCCCTCCAGCATGTCTACCACACCACACAGATACGTGCCGTTGGCAGACTTCCTGAGGGTGCACTCAATCCCACTGTCCATGTCGCCGACAAAGATGTTAAACAGCACTGGTCCCAGTACTGGCCCCTGAGGAACATCACTCGTCACTGGTCTCCGACATCGAGCCATTGACCGCAACTCTCTTGAGTGCGACCATCTAGCCAGTTCCTTATCCACTGAGTGGTCCATCCATCAAATCCGTGTGTCTTCACTTTAGAGACTAGGATGTTGTGCGGGACAGTGTCAAATGCTTGGTCAAGTCCGGGCAGATGACAGTTGCTCTGTGATGACAAAGCTAGAGGTGTATAGTGTTGCGTGATGCAAATAGGAGCTTATCTTGCATGCGTTTGCTCTGAATTGGAATTGCATATTTATAATGGCGTGGAAGAAGAAGAATCGTTGCTATAACTTTGTCATTGATTCTGTTCCAATGCTGGGCAAATTTCCTGTGTTCTTTCCTGTTTTCATCATGCCCATGAAGTTTTGCAGGTGGTTATTTGCAGTTTCAGTTAATACTGAAAAAACAAAGTTAAGAAAGAATATGAAGGAGTCTGTAGTTTTAAGTATATTAAGCGCAGTGGAGACAGACCAAAGCATGAAGTGACTGAAAGTTATATGTATCAGTGCTTACAAATGAAGGTTTTTCAGTGTAAGTTTGCAAAGCTTGAAGTTTCCAGAAACAGAGACCAGAATGAAAGTGAAAAAAAGACTCCTAACGTCTGCTTTTGTGATTTGGTGTAATGTAGTTAGTCAGGTGAGATAATCAAAGCACTTGGACTTGGATCAAGTTTAAAGGTGGTATTACCCAATATTCTGGGGAGTCACCTGTTTCCTAAGACCATGTGTAACTGGGAGGGCTTGTTACAGTAATGGAGATAGCATCATGGCCTTGCCAGTCCTGAGGGTAGTGTGTTTCAATTTTATCTTGTGATTTTGCAGGTCATAGTGTTACAATCTTCAAATTATTAATTTTGGTTCCTCAGGTTGCTATAATGAGGAGCATTGGTGGTTAATAGTGGCATTTGAGGTGCGCATACACGCTTACAAAGTTATGGATGTATAAGCAACTTCTCAGGGATGTAAGCATATAGGCATAGAAATCTAACCTTAAGATCCTAACACACTAATCAAAAGGCCTCCTAGAATTTGCTTGTACTGCTAAGAATTTTTACTTATAACCCAGTTTGTGTTCACATGTAGTATCACTCATAATTTTTTAGCATGTGTATCTTATGGTAATGAAGTATTTGCTTGTGGGTTTAGTTGTCGTGATTTGTAAATTTTTAGTATAGTGGAAGAGTAGTGTAAAATTCATTCTTGGTATCCTCTGCTAATATGCTAAAATTAAATGGTTGGGCTTTGCCCCAACTGAATCTCATTGCCTTGCATTTTTGTTTTAGGAGAAGTCTCTGACTCAGAAAGCAACAGTTCCTCATCTAGCTCAGATACAGATTCTTCATCTGAAGATGAGGAATTCCATGATGGCTATGGAGAAGATCTGATGGGAGATGAAGAAGACCGAGCTCGACTGGAACAAATGACAGAAAAAGAGAGAGAGCAGGAGCTGTTTAACCGGATAGAGAAGAGAGAAGTGCTAAAGAGAAGGTGAATTTTATATCTGTTGATATTTGGTAGCAAATTCATACAGGCTGTATGCAGAGTGTGCTGACTGCGCTCTCACATTTTGGGTCCAAGCTTTCAGCACTATAAAGTGAATTCAACTTCATTGTAGATTGTTTTGCGGAAGCTGTCCTTGTAGCTAGTTGAGAAGCACACAGCAAGAATTCTGCGTGTTCTTGTAGAACTCAGTTTCTGAAAGTTTCTCAGCTGTTGAATATGCATGGTTCTGTCAGCTGCCACTGTGGCCATATTACTGCTTTGCACAGCAGATGCCAGACAGGCAGAAGGACTGCTTTCTCTTCTGTCTCTTTTTGTATTAGCTGTCACATGCAGAAACTTTGGAAAAAGGTAGACAAAGTGTGAGGTGTGTATGAGCTTCTGGAATTTTTCAGAAAACAAGGTGAAGCACAGAGCAATGTTAGGATTGCCTCTAAATGGGTGCCAGTCTGGTTGGGGCCCTAACAGAAGAGAGAGATACTGAAATAATGAGGAGTGGCATTGGATATGTCATTTTCAAGGGATCGTTTGTGGATTTCTACTGTAGGTATTGTGGTTTTCTTTGTTTATTACTGTAACACTGTCCTGTCAGACAGCTTCCTTGTAATAAAGGTATTTTTCTTTCCATGTGTCTAACAGAAAAGGTTTGGCAGATGTGGGGCAAGTTTTCTTCAATTTCCTCCCTCTTCAGTGACTTCTCTCTTTTTCTCACTTGCTGAGAAATGTCTCCAGAGGACTGACATCGGTTGAGTAAATCATGTCAGTACAGGCTACTGCCAGAGAGTCTATTTGTCCAAGCCATAGTTAAAGCTCTGTCTGTGGTTTTAATACTGCTTTCAGTGTTGTCTCTAGTCTGCTGCTCTACTCAAAGGGATCAGAATGAGTGAAAGATTGGATTTAGATCAGGTAGAAGGACACCATATTTTTTTAGTTTCATTCACTGTTCTGTGGTAACTGAATGTCTGTCTTTCTGAATGAATGCTGGAGAATACTTGGTACAAATGAGCTAAACACTCTAAGCTTGAGTTACTGATTTAATCTTTAATGAGTTTGTCCTGTTCTATGTAAGAAGGTTGGCAGGTAGAACTAAGGGACGGGGGGTGTAGTTATTTAACTTCATGGTAAGCTGAATCTTTCAAAATGCTGTCTAGCTCTTTGTATGTATGTGGTGCTGTGAGTTCATTGGGATTACAGCAGGCATTGCATGTGATACAATGCCTGTGCCCTGTGTGTTGTGCTTCATGTTAAAGACATAAAGCGCAGAGAGCTCATCTGGCACTTTAGTTTCTTGTCTGCCAAATTTGGGTGTAAAGGACTGGAGAAAAATGAACTGTCTAATATGCATATGGATAACACATTTTGAATTTGTTATTGGAAGTTAAGTAATTTTTTTTCCTCGTGTTTGTCCATATGCACACTTCACTAAAGCAATGACCAGTCCATGGTGCAGTGGAATCTCGGTCCCAGGACAGTTCCATCAAAATCACTGCTCTTCTGAATACAGTGGCTGAAAATAAGATTTCAGAATGACATATTTCATGAAGGTAGAAATAGAAATGCCTAAATTGGACTGCAGAAACTGTCTGATTCTGATTGGAATGTAGCTGCTGAGCGAGGATTCACTGTGCCTTCTTTGTAGTCATTCTTCTACAGACTAATGCTAGTAGAAAGATAGACTTTAACTGTGAAAAAGTTAGCATGATAATGGCTTTAAACAACCAAGGTTTTAGCTGTTGAGATTCAAATGATGTGAAAAAGCCAATTGTTTTTGGAGTTGGGAGGCAGCATGCAGTGGTCACTACAAGATGAAGATGGAGTAAGGACAGCTTTCTGGGGAGCAGCCGTTACTATGTGGTCTCCTCAGCCCCTTAGGTTGGCTGTCTGTAAGCCTGCACTTTCTAATGCTCGGCTTTTCTTCACCTTAATTTTCTTGGGGAAGGAATGGGATGGAATGGGGGACAGGATACTGTTAAAGGGTTATCCATCTTGGGCAAGCAGTGGAAGTGTTCTTTACAGCCTGCTCACAACTTAAGCTGTGATAGCATCTGGGTGGTACTGTGCTCACTCAGGAAGAGAGTATTCCTTTATACATTCTTTTTGCTTCAATATCTGCTACTAGATTTGAAATCAAGAAGAAACTAAAAACAGCAAAAAAGAAAGAAAAGAAAGAGAAAAAGAAAAAGCAAGAGGAAGAACAAGAGAAGAAAAAACTCACACAGATCCAGGAATCACAGGTAGGAAATGAAACTGTCCTTGGTAATAAATCCTCCTTCCTTGACAGTGGGAGACAGGATGCTGCCTCTCTCTGTCCCTAATGTTTTGCCTTAATGTCAAACAGTGTGCCAAGCAGGTCTGAATTTAGTTCATTTATACGCTTAAGCTATCTTTAGCTTTTCCAGGTCATTTAAAGTAATTGGCATCTTTGGTCTGCTGAGGGGTGCACTGTTAACTCCTTTTAATGAACCATGCAAAGTTGCAGCTATATCTAGAGTTGCTGTGATAGTCCTCCCGTATGAGAACAGGAGAGCAACCTTTTGCAGTTACTTTAGCTGAACTTCTGTCATTCTGTCTGAAACATTACATACACAGTCTTACTTGCGAGTGAAAGTTTCGGAGAGCAGGCCAGAAACTGCTCACCTGTTGTCTTTCTTACTTTGCATGCATATACAATAGAAAGAATGCTTCATTTCTGCTGGTAGGGGTGTCAACGAAAAGCTTGAATACTAGGAGGAGCAGAAGTAGTTCTATAGTTTTTCCACCTCCAGTAGAAAGAGGAGAATACCAGTTTTTGGGGTGAGACCTCTGTAACTGAACTGTAGTTTCAAATGGGTAAGATCCTGCTCGTAACTATTCACAGAGTCTGTGCCGACAGGCTCCCAGGATGAGCTGGGGTGCATCTGGCCTAACTTTAGCCATCTAAGAACTAGTTGATTGTTTGCACACGTTGTCTTCTCTGTTTTTGTGCAGTGGAGGAGGATATGTCTAGCTGGAAATTCACTCCATGTTATTTTCTAGTGAAATTGATGTTGAACACTTAAATCAAATTGGATGAGATCAGTCTTCCCTTAGGCATGTGTTAAGTGGAGTGAATCTCATCTCACTACCCCTCTCAACTCCATATACGTGTGTGTGTATATACTTACATAGTCCACATATATAATACATGTGTAGACGCATATACGTATATGCATGTATAAAGGGATCTTATGCAGAGTTCTTTTACAGTGCTTTCCAGAAATTACTTTGACTTACTTGAAATTACTGTCTCTTACGCATATTAGAGCAGCTGCTTTCTGTGCTAGCTGGTATTCCAGATAGACCTGTTGGAAACAGAAAATATTAGAAGACTTACAACATTTAAGATTTGGATCCATATTGCAGACTTTACACACAACTTTATTTCTGCTTTAAATATGTTTTAACAAAACTTTTCTCTTTGCTACTAAATGAGAAGTACCTTGATTTGACCTTGCAGAAGGATAAACAAATGAGAAGAAAGTTTGTCAGATTTTTCCTTATTACTTGTTAGTTGCAGAATTACTTCCATTTTATTTCTCTAGTCATTTTTTTAGCTTTAGGGAGGAGTTTTGAGACTAAAACTTGGTGGCAGAAGTGTTGAAGTGTAGATATGTTCATTATTTTTGACACAAAGTAGAAAAGAAATGTGCTTCAGATTCTATTTCCCTCTCCCTAGCCTCTGTAAAAATGAACTTGAAAATAACTGGTTCCAAAATGGAGTTTGTTAGTAGCTTATATTTGAAAGGTTTTCAAAGTTTGCAAACAGTCTTTATTTTAATGCATTTCAGCTTATGGATTGCACTTGGTGTTGAGAGACTTTCTGTGCATTTTTTTAGGTTATGTCACATAACAAAGAGCGGCGATCAAAGCGGGATGAGAAGCTAGACAAGAAATCTCAGGCAATGGAGGAGCTAAAAGCAGAAAGAGAGAAAAGGAAGAACAGAACAGGTATGAAAGCGTGTTGCTGTTGCTACAATTGTTGAGGCATTATTACAGCTTTCTGAAAGTGCTGCTTCCGGTTTCTAATCAATGCAACATTCCTACACCTTGGACTGAATGAATTCCATGTCTGTTTGCCTTGGTCTTTTGCCCAACATGACCACCTAGAGTATTGTTTGGCCCCATTGATCCTGTATTCCTCCCCCTCCCCACCCCTCCCCGAATGGTCTGAAAACGAAGCAAATTTTCATCACTGTCCATTGGACGGCACTTAGTAGTGTTTAGTTCATGTATTTGAATTGGTCATTTAGATTCTGTTATTTAATCTCTGAACCATCCAAATCATATTTATTGTACTTGTGCTGTCTCGTCTACATTTGCTTGTTTACTCACTGGCACATCATCTTGTCTGTCTTGCCACAGATGCAACCCTTTTTGTTACTCTGCTGGGTTTTATTGTGGTCCTTTCCAAACATGAGATTTTTTTTTTACCTTGCAAAATAACAATGAGTTGTCGGATCATAATAGTTTTATCTTGTATATCCAGTTGCTATGCCCATCTTGTATTGCTGCATGCAATCAATTTGGGAGACTGAAGATAGTACAACCAAGACTTAAGATGCTTTTAAATACTTTGATTTCTCTCTCTGAATATATACAATGGAGTGCTTAGCTTACTAAGTGGATTTGAACACGTGGCACTTATAGCCAGTGTAAAATTAACAGTATCTACCTCTCTTTTTTAAAAAACAATAAGGTTTCAGCTCTGAAAGGAAGCTTTCATAAAAAAATTTACAGCTTGCTTTTCCTTGTTCTGTGTCCTCCTTTCCCCAGCTGAATTGCTTGCAAAAAAACAACCATTAAAAACTAGTGAAGTATACTCTGATGATGAAGAGGAAGAGGAGGATGATAAGTCTAGTGAGAAAAGTGATCGTTCTTCTAGATCTTCATCCTCTGATGAAGAGGAAGAGTAAGTAGTAAACACTGGACTATGTTTACTTGTGTGTTCAGAAGCAGAGATCCACTTTGTGTAGACACATGCTGTTTTAGAGGATTGTTTGGGGGCAGTTAAGTGTCTCTAAAGTGGTTTTGCCTCTGGGTGCACTTGCATTGCCCAGATTTGAGTCCTTGGCTTCTATATCATGGTGCATGGGACTGATTTACCTTGGATGGGTTTGCAATTTCAGCTCCCTGCCGTCATCTTTAGCCCTGTTTACACTGTTGTTTACAGATTTGTTTAGTCCTACAGTTCAGCAGCCACAGAACCCTGGCATATTAGCAGGGCAGAGAGGTGTGCTGGCTTATCTTAAAGCATTGGCCTGTAAATTGCCTCTGTGTGTGAGGTTTTTCTGCTTTGTGAGGTTTTTCTGCTTTGGGGTAGCAGAGCAGTGGGTAACAAGTCTGGGACTTCACATTAAGCTTTTCTCATGAATGCTAAACTCACATATCTACAATCAGCTAATACATGATGAATCATTCCTTTTACTAGTAATTTAAATAGTTAGAACTCATGCTACACCTTGCTCAGGACTCCTTTTTTGATGATTGTCTCTACTTTTATTCTTTATTCCTTCTCACCTTTCCCAAATCAGGAAGGAGGAGATTCCTCCTAAGTCCCAGCCAGTGTCCTTGCCTGAAGAACTGAACCGAGTACGGTTATCACGACACAAGCTGGAACGCTGGTGTCATATGCCTTTCTTTGCCAAGACAGTCACTGGCTGCTTTGTCCGTATTGGCATTGGAAATCACAACAGCAAACCAGTTTATCGGGTGAGTTTAGTTCCAAGGGATGTAGTTCTTTTTATAGTGCTGTAATATAATATTTGCAGCTTAGCAATTCTCAGGTACCTGTGATTGAGTGATTAATATAAAAAGATTGCTTATAACCAGAAAATGTAATTGCTCTCATAGTAGTGGAGAATGCTTTAAAAATAAATGAATCTATGGGACCAGCTAGGTGAAGAGATATATTTAGTGAGAGGGAGCACTAACAAAGCCTGTTCTTCCAGCTTTGGTTCATGCTGCCTTGTCTCATCATTTGTATTGCAAACTAGAGTTCAGGACTCTGTTTTGACCAAGTAAGGATGAGTAACATTCACTTCTTATTTCTGGGAATGTTCCCAAGTTATTGCGTGGTCTCAGTTCTTTTTTAACAATGTGTTTCTACTGCATCAGTGTGCCTCAGAAGAAAAGGTAATTGAGAACACAGTTTTGTTTCTTGTTTCATTGCTGTAACTGTACAATCACAGGGTGCAATAATATTCTCTAAAATTGCATTTAAAAGGTCCACGGGGAGGCTGTGTTTAATATGTGAGCAGCACTGGTGTATTTCATTAGGGACATACGTTAACGCAAACCAGCGTTAATTGAAAAAGAAATAGGAGAAGTAGGAAAGTGTATACCACTTGGTCAGGAAGGCAGAACTGAGAAGACAGAAAAACTGCATCAAGCGTTCAGATGGTGTAATTTGTCGACTCAAAAGGTGGTGCATGAAGCAACTAATTCAGTACCTGATAACATGCACTGAAGAGTCATACTTTCCTTGATCTAGTTAGAGTTGTTAATTAGATTAATTTTTTTTGTCTCTAGTGAAAAGACTCAAATATGCCAGATATATTCCAGCAACACAAAAAAAACCCCTCTTGCATCCTTCCTCTTGTGTATTTTACCCTGTGGTACAGGTTGCTGAAATAACTGGTGTGGTAGAGACTGCAAAGGTTTACCAGCTTGGTGGTACCCGTACAAACAAAGGACTACAGCTGCGGTAAGATACCAAAGTAATCCTCATCCGTTCATGAAGTGGTTTGCTTTTCACAGCAAATAATGTTCTGTGTCTGGTTTGGAGACAAGAGCGAAAAAACAGACTGGGCCCTTGCCATGCTGCTTACGGCTAGAGTGTTGGGATTCGGGTTGTTTGGGATTTTTTCCCCTTGGGCATAATGTAAATTATTAAAAAAAAAAAAACAAAAAACCAAAAAAAAACCACCACAAAACAAAAAAAACTTGATCTGTGATTGTGTAGACATCTGAGCAATTAATTTGTGTTAGTAACCTGTGATTGTTTGTGTATGCCCCTTGAGCTTTGCAATACTCTTTTATATCTTTTCTTCGCTGTTGTTATAATCAGGTGTTAGAAATACATATCATTTAAAGGCATACATGATTGGGTCTGGCATACATGTTGACAACATAAAATGGTACTTTGGAAGGGAAAAGCTAAATGTAGCATCGGATTTCTCAGCTGTTCTTAAGGCCCTTATAAGTATCGTGAGGTGAAGGTTAACAGTTACAATACGAAACATCCTGGTGAGGTAGGACAAGAAGACATTAAGCATTTGGGAGAAACAGGAAGGTATGTGGAGAATGTACGTGGGTGGAAGTGTGGAGTAAGAAAAAAAACCAAAAACATTATCTAAATCTGTTGTGACATTCAATAACTTATTAGGCTACCTCAGGAGAGAGCTCCATGCTTTGACTGAAATTTACACCATGGCAACTCTTTTTAGTATTGGCTAATAGCAGTGTAGTAGTTTAGCTGGTAGTGTCAAAGGTGGTGCTGTGCAGAAAATGTTTGGAGATTTCTGGCTTTTGAATGGCCAACAAAGCAAAAATTAGATAGGGGCTGGCTCCAGCATTGTGTAATTCAGTACTGCTCAAAGTTTACTTCTACTGGTCCAAACACAAAGGACCTTTGTGTTTGTGAAGAGCATACTGTGGGCAACCAAATAGAGTATGTAAGGTTTAGGTGTGAGAGGTCTGTTTCTGTTTCCTCTTGAAGGTTTTACTGCCACAACTGAGTGAATGTTTCTTGCAGACTCGCTGTCTTAGTATTCCTTTGCATTACTACTAATAGCTGATGTAGGCTCCTGGATTGCGGCTGACCTGACTGAAGTTAGGAATAGATAGCATGTGAGCCACAAGAGTAAAGGGTCCGGTTTTGGGCTGCTTGAATCAGTTTACACCTGTAGATCCAAGATCACAGCTCTGTACCATCAGCGAGGGATGTTGTTACGCTTTCTTCTTGCAGGCATGGCAGTGATTCACGTGTCTTTCGTTTGGAGTTTGTCTCAAATCAGGAATTTACTGAAAGTGAGTTTATGAAGTGGAAGGAAGCGGTAAGTTGGCCAGGCTTTGGTTTCTTCTTAGCAGCCTTCTGCTAGGAGTAATTTAAGTGGAAAGTAACCTCTTTGTCTCTTGTGTGTAGATGTTCTCTGCTGGGATGCAGCTACCCACACTAGATGAGATAAATAAGAAAGAAGTGTCCATCAAAGAAGCCCTCAACTACAAGTTTAATGACCAGGACATTGAGGAGGTAAACAGTGTGTTACAGTGAGGCTGTGGCAGTGCTTAAAGGTGACAGGAACGCATGGAGTAGAGCACTAGCTGTTACAAAGCAAAATGATTATGGTATTTGCTTCCTAAGAAGAAAATAAAAGGCTCCAGATGAAGTTGCATAACTGGATAGAATACTTCGGTGATTCAGATGTTGCTTGGTGCTCACTCCTGCTTTACTTCATCCTTTGTGCCCTGTTACTTCTCTTGAACTTCGGTTGCAGAGCCCTGAGAATGGCAACTTAGTTCTCAAGTTCTGAAAAGCTAACAGCATCATGATAGATGCATTTATCACAGTTTCTGCTGTAGAATACTTGCTTAATACTGACCAAATGTAATAAGCATCAGATTTTTGTAGGTCGTAAGTGAGGGGAATGGAGCTGTAACTCATTACTAAGTCACAAATTAAAAAATGCAGCAGAGAAAAAGCATGAGTAAAATTCTGTTGCAATAAGTACATTTCTTAGGTGGTACTACTGATCTGTTGCTTCTAGTGTCGAAATATTGAAATAGACGTATTCTATTCTAACAGCGTATTCTTGCTGTTTCCTCTGCATCTTACAGATTGTGAAAGAGAAGGAAAGGTTCAGAAAAGCACCACCAAATTATGCTATGAAGAAAACACAGCTGTTAAAGGAGAAGGTGAGAGATGAGATGATGCCTGCAAGCTTAATCCAGTCTTTGATTTTGAAGAACTGGAGCTAATCTGGATTATGGCGGTAGTCAGCAGTAAACTCGACTTTAACTATGCAGCTAAAAGGTGGATCTCAAGGTTCATTGCTGGGTTCAGGACACTTAGAACCCAGTTAAAACTATTGCATTCTTTTTCTAAGGGCAATTGCCAGCAATTATAGCTGTCTCTTTCTGTGTCTTTTAAACAAGAAGGTCTTAAGCTGTTCTGTGTTAGGAGTTATTTTTCTTTTTTCTTTACAGTATCCCATAATAACATTTGAAAGTTCATTTCCTAGCCTTTTTAAAATAGGAAAAATAAAAGACGTGTTAAATTGTCTTTCACTCGAGGGTGACTGAATTGTCACTTTATGGCCAGTAATTTATATTGAAAAGAATACCTTGCTGAAAGATTTACTTGTCACTGAATTTTTTTACATGTAGACCTCCTGGAACGAATAGACCTAACAGTGCTGAGAAGCCAAAGTTGAGAAGTCAAGGAAACAAACAAGCAGTCTTAAGTTCTCTGAAGACAGGCAGACATAACACATTTTGTTTTCATCTTTGCAGTCCTTTTCCAAGATATTCGTGCTTCATATACAATAAAAACAAAGAGTTTGTGTTAATCTTTAGTTCTACATGCTTTGGCTTAACTGTATTGTTCGGTCATCGTTTTACTATGCACGAATATGTAAATCGTTAGTTTTCCATTGCAGAACAGTGCAATTGCTTTTTGCTGTCACCAGGTGGCAGAATAAGCTATGGTTATTGGTCTGGTGGTGTGGCAGGGGACCAACTGACAGTTGCAGAAATAATCATCATTCTTTTTCTGAGCTGGTAAATAGTGATATTAAAATTTAATCAAACGTGTAACTTAAGTCATCTGGCTTGCCCTCCTCATGCTGGGACTAGTGTTGCTACATAGTCTGTAGTTTAAGGGGTTTCAAAGGTTTTCAGAGTAAGAAGTCCTGTTTTGCCTTGAGCTGCAAGGAGAGTTTAGCTCTTTGTTGTATTCTTACCATGCAAGGTAGAACATTTGCAACTGGAATAGAGTTAGCTGGCTGATTCATGGGTCTACCCCTGGTTTCTCTGACTAGCGCTGTGGTAGAGAGTAGTGCCTAATGAGTTACTGTTTGGTTGAAGGCTATGGCTGAGGACTTGGGGGACCAAGATAAGGCCAAACAGATTCAAGATCAGCTTAATGAGCTTGAAGAGAGAGCAGAGGCCCTGGATCGTCAACGAACAAAAAACATTTCTGCAATCAGGTAAGAAGCAGATATTAGGAATTTTCTTTCTTAAATGGTATCAATCAAAATATACGGAGAAGAGAGACTAATGCAGTGGTGAATTAGCTGCAAGATTTTGTCTCTTCTTTCCTGTATAATATATTTGTGAAATGTGTATCATGATGGCTCTATTAGTGTTCGCCTATCTTCGCTTCCTTGTATCTGTGATTCAGTTAAAACTGTCAAAAACATAAAACTCTCTTCCACGTACCCCAGGTAGGAGTTGTGTTGCAATAGGAGTAATCCATGAGCAGGATGAAGCTGCAGGGATGCTGTCAGGCGCTTGATTGATAAATGACAGTCACTTTGTTTTTCTTTCCTTTCTGCAGTTACATCAACCAGAGGAATAGAGAGTGGAATATCGTTGAGTCTGAGAAGGCTCTTGTGGTAAATAGTGCTGAATTAATACTTCTGTACAAGTAGAGATGAAATGATGCGAAGGAGAATATTGGCATGGTGAAGTTATTAAATTTTTCTTAATGATCTATAAAATCTTTTGTATAGGCAACTGACATGATTTTAAAGAAGATTGCTTTATCCTTTTGATTAATTCGCTTATCAGCAGATCACTGACTGTAATAGTGACTTAGTGCATTTTGTATGGGAAAGAAATCAGAAAGGAGACTTCAGAGAATAAAATCGTAAAGGAAATATTCAATTCTTTGCAGTGACACTTCTGCTAAGGATAAGTTGAGCTTGTTAATGAATTGTTAAGCCTTAACTATCCTGAGAGTTGTGTGCCTATTTTCTGTGTTATATTCGATAAGGACAGTTTTGCCCTGTGAAGCATAGGACTGTGAGTGTGTCAAAATCTTTCTAGTCTGTAATGCTGTTGCTGTTTTTTCTCTGATCTTCATATTATAGATAGCTGATGAGTGCTTGCATGGATGGGGTGCTGTGGGAGGATTTACAAGGGTGTAAGTAGCTGACTCTGCAAACCCATGTGCTTTTTCTTCTTCAGGCTGAAAGTCACAGCATGAAAAACCAACAAATGGACCCCTTTACTAGGCGGCAGTGCAAGCCCACAATAGTGTCTAATGTGAGTGTAATACTGATGTTCAGCTGAGGCAATTTGCAGAGAAGCAGAAACCAATGTAATGCAGAGAGTAGGAAGAAAAATGTTGTTTGTATTCATTCGCAGCTCTGCCATATGCTATTAATGCTCCAGATGCCAGGGTGAGGTATAGTTGAGCGAGATCCTGGTCTCACTATCCCAAAAGAAGGAGGAAGCAATATTTTTTTTTTTTTTTTTTAATGCTAAGTGTGAAGGACTTAAGTGGGTATGTACATGGAGAAACAACTGTGGTTTAGACTTCTGTAGTGAGTTCTTCTATGTAGAGTTACTCAGATTTAGTCAGCTCTGGGAAGACGGTTTGCTTTAGGTGTGAGTTTTGCTTCTAATTAGTTGAAACTTTCCTTGAAAGAACTGTGAAAGGAGGAAGACGACCAGGCATTTTGGGCCTGTGATGGATAGAGTAGTTTAACACAAACTTGCCTCGTGATACTGTGGCAAAACGTGCTACTGCAGTTGCTATGTGTATAAATGATGGACAGCAAGGTGAGCAGCTCCTACTTCTAAGTAATCTGGCTTTGTTCAGGCCTGTTCTTGAATAGTATATGGTTCTGGTATCAGTACTTAAAAAAAATGGTAAGGTTGGCTCTCCATGAGTCTCCGCAAACTGGGAAAAGAATAGAGAAGAAATTTTATTGTAGGGCTTGAATTAAATAATTATTTCTGAAATAATTCTTTATTAGAAAAGAATAGTAACTAAATAGTTTTATTATGGTAGACAACTATTATGTAAAGAAAATTGTCCTCTAGAGATTTCTTCTCTGCAGTAGAGTGTTTCAGCCAGAACTGTAAGTTGCTTTGCTTAGAGCAGCAAATCTATCTAACAATAATGTTAAGACTAGTCATGGGAGCAAACCGTATCAACAGGAAATGTACTTCTCATTTTCTCAAAGAAAGACTTCCTGAAGGATAACTTTTAAGTTGTTACTGTCAGATGCATTACACAGGTATCAGGATGATTTCAGTTGTCTCCGAGATCCTGAAAATTTGGCTAACAGATCTACAGCCTCTTACGGTTTTAGTTTCATGGGTATGAATGCTGTTTTAGCAAAATGGCAGTATAGTTTTCGCCAATTTATATACAGTGATTTTTCTTCTTCTTTCTCTGCTCTGTAGTCCAGAGATCCTGCTGTCCAAGCTGCCATCCTTGCCCAGCTAAATGCAAAATATGGGTCTGGTGTATTACCAGATGCTCCAAAGGACATGACTAAGGCAAGTTTCCATTTCTGTCTCCGTTGTGTTCCTCCCACTGTCACCGTTTTTACTCTAGAAACTTATGACTAATAGTAGATGTGCATGCTTCAGTTCTAGAAATAGTTATCCCGTAGAGCATTATCATAGAAAAGAAACAGCTTTTTGTTTCCTGAGGAAAGAAAATTAAGTTTCTCTAGCAGTATGAAAGCTAAACTAAGTACGTTTGTGACAGAAGTGGGGAAAAAGCATTTTTATATCTGTTTGTCTGGACAGACAAAGGTTGGAGACTTACCTGTAGTTTTTATTTCAGGGTCAAGGGAAGGATAAGGATGTGAACTCTAAATCAGCCAGTGACCTCTCAGAAGATCTTTTCAAAGTGCATGACTTTGATGTAAAGATTGATCTTCAGGTTCCTAGTTCAGGTAGGTGTTCCAGCTGAGTTTGGGAATGTGATTGTCCAGCTCATTATGGTAGAGCTCACTTCTTCCAGAATAGTTCTTTCAGAATCACTGGGAGCAAGGACCCAGTGTTTGTCATCCTGGCAAGTATCTTGAACTGAGGAGGAGGGGATGTGTGCTGGTGACATCCATTGAGAAAACAAGAGCAACTGTACTGCGTTAGACTGAAAGACTGTATATCCCCATATCCTTGCTCCAAATGCCTAGGGAGAAAAGGGGATAATGAGTGTCTTCAGATGTACTCTAGTCTACAATATCTATGACTTGCATAGTCTTTGGGGAACAGACGAGAATGTTGTATTTATTAAACCTTGATATCTACCTTGATACTTTGTTAATTTGTCGAATCACTTTTGAGGAGAGATAAGCTTTGGGTGTATGTGATGTCCTGTTCCACAATCTGTGTACATGCTATGTGGATAAAGTATTTTTATTTTATTTTGAACCTAGTGCTTTACCAAGTTGCTGTTTCCTATCTTTGATATTGCAGATGGTATTGAAGCTAAATTTTTGGGAAACCAAAACATAGGGCAAGGAGTGAAAGTACACACAAACCTTCTGACCCTTCCTCTTTGTGACCTTGACTTTGAGAGCCTGAGATGTGTGGCAAGAACAGTTTAGTATCGTGGAATCATTTAGTTGGGAAAAGACCCTTAAGATCATCAAGTCCAACCGTTAACCTAACTCTACCAAGTCCACCATGTCCCTAAGCACCACATCTACACATCTTTTAAATGCCTTCAGGGACGGTGTCTCAGCCACTTCTCTGGGCAGCCTGTTCCAATGCTTGACAACCCTTTTGGTGAAGAAATTTTTCCTAACATCTGATCTAAATTTGCCCTGACACAACTTGAGGTGTTTTCCTCTCATCCTATTGAGCAATTTTCCAGTGAGGGGAAAGCATGGTAGTATAGAGTAGAGTTTGACTCACGAGGCTTATTTTTTCTTGCATTACTGGAAGGATTAGAGCTGAAGTTTTTTGGAGGACAACAATTTAGGAAGTACTGTAAGAACACACGAAGACTTCAAACCTTGTCAAGAAGGGAAAGTAGGAGAGGTTGTCTTTCCAAACTAGGTAAAGATCGGACTCTGGATATAAGACTACAGAATGAGGTAGGATGCCAAGAATAGGAGACATCCTGAAGCAGACAGTGAGTTATGAATTTCAGAGAGTTAGCAAGCAGATGAAGGTTAGACACTAAAGGATGCTGAAAACCAGGAAGGGAGGGACTGGAAAGAGAACAATGAGAGACACAATATAGGTAGAAATTTAAGTATGGCCGTTCTGGTTTTTTTTTTCCTCAGACAGAACGCCATTTTGGCATCTGGCTTTGAGCAGTCTCGTTTCTTAGCTGAAGAACTTGGAAACTGGTTAAAATGTGTGTTGTAGACATGGATAGGAAGTTTGATTTACGTTCCCTTATTATTTGTCTCTTTGTGCTTGCTATTCGCATGGGATAATGATTTATCAAAGATCTCAGAACTGAGCCTTAAAGCTCTGTTTGAATTGTGATTTCAGTGTGCTATAGAGTAGTTTTGTTAAGAAATGAAAGTATGCTTATCAGCAGAAAACTGGATTAACAAACAGTCAAAACTGCACATGCTTTATCTATGAAGATAAGCGACCAGATACTGCTTGTATTATTAACTGAAGTTCTAACCTGATGTAAACTAGAGAAGTCAGACATGATTTTGTGATGAAGTTATCATTCAAAGCAGGAAGTAAAAATCAGTAGTTTTCATGTATTTTGGTCCTCACTCTTTTCTTATCCCCAACAGAATCTAAGGCACTGGCCATCACCTCCAAGGCTCCACCAGCAAAGGATGGTGCCCCTCGGCGATCGTTGAACTTGGAGGACTACAAAAAGAGGCGGGGGCTTATTTGAGCATGCCCACTCTGCTGCTTCTGATCCTGCATGCTCCATGACGATGTCCTACCTTTTCTTCCTCCTTTTTCAGTTCTCCCTTCTGGGTTGGAGCAGCAATGGAGCTGGGAAGAGACTCTTTGAAACTGCCAGTCATCTGTAACATAAACCATTCAACTATTTACTGTATAGACCTCCCTTCTTGCCCTTTCCTCCTGCCCCCCTCACAAATGTGGATCTGTGCTATTTGGGGTTTTCCCATTTCTTTTAGTTTGTTTTGGTTTTATTTTGTTGATGCAGCTCGTTGGTCCACTCTGTGTTCAGTATTAGCCTGAGGTCTGGATTTCCATAGGAATCTCTTGGTGGTCACAGAATCAGCACTTGGTGATCTCCCCTTACATACCACCACAGGCACAATGAATAAACATTGGCGCAAGACCTTTGTGGCTGGAAGGTCATCTGCACTTTCTTCCTCCTCTTCTTCCTCCTTCATCCTAGCTTTGGAGAAGGGAATCTTCAAAAACTGGCTTAGGTTCAAAGTGTAAATTTTTTTGGGAGGGTTGTGTGACTTTTTTTCAGGTGTTTTTTATCATTTTTAAGCTGCAGTACTATTTGTATCCGTCTGTCACAGTTCTTTACGGCTGTTTTGAATTTCTACCAGCTGTACTTGAGCATCTGAAATTGCAAGAAAGAAACTCATTAAATGTGATTCTTCGTACTAAAACGGCTTGGTTGATATAGCTGTTTAACTTCATGTTCCCTTTTTTTACTTAAGCTTAATTGATGAGAGAGAGGTACACAGCTCTTGATGTGGGACTTGTCATCTGTAGCACATCCGGAGTCACCAGCTGTAACGGAGTGGAGTAGTTTTTTCTGGGATGGCCCTGGGGTGCTAATTGGTTGGGCTTTAATTTCACATCTAAGCCTCCATTACTATGTAACTGTTAAGTCGTCGTGTCTTCACTGGGCTCCAGCTCACTTTGTTTCTTGCTTTGTGAACTATTTAAACAGGGCTTCTATAAGCAAACAAAAAATTGGAAAAAAAAAAAAAAATCACTTTGTATGGAAGGGGAAGGACCCAGTAAGAACATAGCAGAAAGGTCAGTGGGTAATGTGTGAGAGGTAGCTGATGCACATTTTTCATATATAAACTGGTACAAGTGGAGTGCAGTGGTAGCACAAGAATTGTATGGCTTTATGGAATATTTGACTGGACACATGGTGACAGCTAAATTATCACTCAGGTGTAAAAAAAAAAAAAAAAAGTGTAAATATAAGTGACATTTAACAAAGAACTTTTCCAAACAAGATACAACTGACTATATGGAGGTAAGAACTAAATTAAAAGAGAATTAGAAGTCTAAAAGATTAGACATCCTCATTCAGGTAAGCGTGTAAGCACATGTTTGTTCCTAGTCAGGCCGGTACGTGTGTAATAACTTAAGCATTGAACTGGATGGGAATGTTTCTGGGGGACCCTGAAGAGGGAAAATGCTGATGCTGCTCTTGTGTCAGAGCATTACTGTTTTTCTGAAATCATACACTGGTTATGTTTAAACCTGTGTTTGATACTTTCTATTGGATTCTTAATGAACTTTAATCTAGTTCTTATTTAACTTTCTCTTCCTTTTTTAATAGTAGCTTTAAAGAAACATCATGTAATTGTGTGCAGATTGATACTATGAACTGTGTATAAAAAGAAAATCAACCTATAAAGCAGCTGTTACCTACTATGTAAACAAATAGTTAGAAATCCTTCAATACTTATTTACCGAATAGTCCATGTTTCTAAGGACACATGTGGGTTATTCTGTAAATATGTAATCACAGACTGCTTTATTTGATGGCCTATTCTAGCAGCTTCTCTGGAGTTGTAGTAGGCTCTCACATATATGTACTTCTAACTTTTGAAGAGTGGATTTATGGAATCTACCATGATAACTTCATAGGAGATATCGTGATTCACTGTGTAGATATGCATTTGATATGATTTTGGTTTTTTTCAACAGCTTCAGTGATGTTACAGATTTGTAATAAAAAAAATCTAAACTTATTTTGCAATAGCCAGTTTTCAAAATAATCACTCTCCAATGCTTTGCAGAAATAATTGCCAAATCAAGCGATTCAGGAACCGGTTTTTCCACAGAAAAGCCTCAGAGTTCTGAGGCTCAGTGACAAGTGGTGTCTAGAGGTAAAGTTGACTCAAATTCAGTATTTTTAATATGCTTGTCCTTTATGTATGGGGTTTAGGTAACTTCTACATTTGGTGGCACAAGAGTAGTCTGCATTACAACCAAAATGTCAACGAGACTCGTACAGTGTTGCAAGTAACTTTTAGTGGAGATAACTGAAACAGAGGAGATGCAGTGAGTTTAGAATGCAGATCGGAATGATGGAGGGTGTCCTAGTTATCTGCAGCTATGAAACTGCCACTTACCCTGTAAAAGTCCTCTGGATTCCTGAAATACTATTTTTAAGAGAGGCAATAGTTAGTACATTATCGTGCAAACCTCTTATCTAGAGAATAATACATCAAGAAAGTACTCCTGAATAGTTACAGAACTGTGTATGAAAGCTGTAATCTTTTTTCCTTTAAGTGCATGTGAAGGTGAGTGACTACACCTCCCAGTCATTAGAGGGAGAGATTTGTTTGCTTTGCTTCATTGGTGTCCTAGCATAGTTCATCACATTTGTACAGACTTCTATAAATAAACTTGGTTTGTTGGTTTAATAAGGTTGATTGTTTATCCCTTGATCTGAGGTGCTGAGGGTTTCCTGTCTAGAATTTGTTTTTTCAGAAGCCAACATTTCACTTGTCAGTCTGGACAATTTTATTTAAAATACTAATACTGTAAAATAATGAAGAGTAAGCCCCCTCTTTCGCAAGAGTGGCTGTTGACTCCTTGATCGCTCTAACAACTGGAGTTGTTCCTTATCCCTAGAATCAAATGGAGCCCATTGGAAGGTCAGTTCACTTGCACCTTTGCTACATCTCACTGAAAATACAGACTTTGCTCATCTTGTAGAAATCCAGACTGCTTTTGTAAGCAAATGTGCTAAAACACGTAGCTGAACTTAGAGAAGCTACTGAATGAGGTGAAGCAAGACTGCTCTCAGGGGGTGCTTGGTGGGAGGATGAGACACAACAGGCATAACCTGAAACAGGACAGGTTCTGCCAAGATGTAAGAAAAAAAATTTCACCCTTAGGACAGTCAGAGTGGACTAGGTTGCCCAGAGAGATTGTTCTGTCTCTACTTCGGAGGTTTTCAAGAGAAGTCTGGATTAAGCCATGAGTAACATGATCCAACCTTGTAGTTTACCCAGCTTTGAGTGGGAGGGTGGACTGGAGACCTCCCTGAGCTCCCTTCTGACCCGAGTTATCCTATGATTCTGTAAGTAATTTCGTATTGCTTTCTCCGGTTTTGTCTGCCCTGCGTGTACTGCCCCTTCCCCATCTCCCTTCCTACAAGCAGCACACAGGATTTGTCTCGCAGACGTGGTGGCTTACCATGAGCAGTGCGACGTTACCAACACGCATCCTTACTGAGACTCTGGGTGTGTATTTCTAGAGTTCATGCTAGGGCTGTCTGTGAAACAAAATTGTCTTTATATCGCTGAACAGGCTGGAAGACTCGTCGTACTGTAGAGTGAGGAGCTGTAACTCGAGATTTGATTAGCAAGGTGTTCCTTTGATGCGCTTTGAACAAGAAAATAGTTTTCCACCTCTTTATGAGCTTTTTTAAGTGTATATGCTTTTAAGCTGCTGTGCAAGGTCACAGATTTTCAAGGAATCCTTAGGATAAAGGGTCTTCAGGATGGGTCGAAAGTTTTTAACTGGCTTTGGGAAGGATAGTCAACCAAAGGAAAAAATGTTGTGCCTTAAAGGAGAAGGAATTAACTAGTTGTGAAGAAAGTGCTTCACAGCTAGTTTATTGCTGTCAGAAGGTGGAAGCAGAAGAAGGTGAGAACTGAAAATGAGTCTGCACAAATGCTTCACTGGTTATGCATACTGGGAAATAAAAAGGCATGTGGATGTCATCTCAAATTCGGGCTTTGACGTCTTCGTTTTTCCCACCATCTTAACTAGGAGATAGTTAAGCTTGTCCGGACCACTTTTAACTTTGAGTTTTGGGGTTCTTAATTGTGGGAAATACGTGCTGTAAATTTGATACTTAAACTACTGATAAATACGCAGTCTTACTACCTTCAGCACAGTAACTTGGTCTTTTAGAGGGAGATGCTTAAGTAGCCAAATAAATGGGTGAATTTCCTTTTTTTTAATTTTTAGCTGGAATGGTTAAGCACTCACTCTTTCTACCTTACCACCATCATCAACCACTTGAGATTTTAGCCCCTGCTCACGCTCAGTGGCTGAAAGAATATCATTCAAGCAGTTTCTTTAGTCTCATACCATGTGGAGTTACCAGGGTTGAAAAATAAAAAAACCCAACAGCTTTATTTTCTGCTTTGTCAGCTGGACTGCAGGGGTAGTAAACAAGAGGAGAACTGTGGTGGTAACATCTTAACCTTTTCCAGCTGTTTGGAAATCCAGCCATTAGATACTCCCTTGGGGTTCTTTATGCCTTGAGATCTATCAAGATGTTAAAGGCTTCTTTGACCCAGCTGTTTCAGGGCATAACAAGTAGGTGTTGCTCACGTGCCAGCCTTTGGACACTTGACTATTTTTCTTTAGCATTTTTGTTTCTATTGAGAAACAGCAGTATTCAGCTAAGACTATGAGCCATTAAAGAACGTAAATTTAAGTAGAGACTTCCGTGGAATAGCTAATATATTGCAATTACCTGTAAGTAACAGAAGGCAGGACGAGTATCGGTAAGTACTTAAGACAGTGTATCTGTCATTTTGTATTAGACCATGTGTAGAATACTGTGTGGTTTTTGAGTTCTCCATTTCAAGGAATATTTCAACCACCTGGAGCAAGGTTAGTGGAGGGCCACCAAGATGGCTGGGCTTATTTAACTGGAAAGAAAGTAGTGATATAGCACTGTAATACTGTATTACTGTTGTTAGTAATAGACAATAAGCTTAGTACTGAGTCTGCCAGGCCTCAGGACTCAGACTTATCAGGCTTCGCTTTCTGGACTTTGCTTGACCTGACTGTAGCTTTGTTTTACTTAGCTTTGCTAGAACAATAGTTTCTCTAACTGGAAAGGTGTCTGTGACTGATTTGTTTTACTTCTGTTTACCCTTGCATGGTGCAACCATAGTTTTATATATGTAAGAGTAATAAGCAGTTATTTTATGTAGAATGAGATATTTATGACCAAAAGTAATGATATGTTGGAAAGAAATGCAGGTGTGGTATGATAGCAGAGACCTATAGAAGTGGAAACAAAGGATGTAGCGTGAAGAAGTACGGATGGATGATGGGGCAGGTGTATGGGACTGGAGAGCCTATGGTCATATATTGGTGAGTGGTTGCTCACCAGTGGTCATTTTCGTGTTGTTTAGTGGGGTGAGGGGGTGGCGTTGATTTTTTTTGTTTGTGAAGGTTTGGGGTTTTTTTATTTTTTTTCTTAAAAAAGGCAGAACCAGAACTGGACAAAACTGTGTTTAGGGAGTAACAGAACAAAGAAATCATATCTAACATATGTGAAGGGCACCATATATCATAAGTTTGCATGTAGCATGGAGCTGTAGACCTACAAGGAAAGAGAAAGATGTAGAAGCATGTCAGCAAACATAAAAATAACCCCAAGTGG